GAGTGCTTTAGTACTGGATCGTGATGAATTAAAATTTTTCAAAGAGGTCATCTTCTAGGCATGGAGGATGTAAAGGAGTCTTATCCATAACAAGCAAGGCCCGGAGTGGCAAACTCATCTTAAGCAGGTATTTTTTAATAGACTGACCAGACATTTCATGGATCCAAACTGTAAAAGGTCACATCACCTAAGTTTCATTGTTGAACCTGCTGTTCTAGATTTTATATTTTGAAAGTTTATGGATTGCCCAAATGATAAATGAGTAGTGGTTTAACCCGTAACTGGGGAGGTCAAATATTGGGACATAATTGGGGATGTGCAATCACAGAGACCGCGTCTCGTTATGATTTACCGTATTTGACGGCATATAAGACGCACCCTTATTTAGAAGGCCATACACAAGGAAAAAAAGTTTCAATAGTCCGTGCGAGTACCACAATAACGTAAAATGTGGTTTCTTTTAGTTCTCATGTTTCATAAAATCCAAATAAACAATCATTGAATGCAATTACTAAACATATTTTTATTAAGGAAAATTAACAAACGGCAAGCTATTTTGAACATGATATGTAAATTTCAATAATGAATAAATGAATGAACGACAAGCAATCAAACATAATACAAAATAAAGCAGAAACAACGAAAAACACAGATTGAAGGAAAACGTTGCCTATCATGAAATTAGACTTTAATCACTTTCAAAACCATAAAAATCCTTTTCACTATCATCATCATCAAAAATGAGAATATTATCGTCACTACTGTTTCCGTCATCGCTAGTATCACCTTCTTCGAATAATGCGTCGTCTTCTGTTCCGTCAAGAGCATAACTGATTTCGCACTTCTTAAAGGACTTAACAATTACTTCAGCCTTTGCGTCCTCCCAAGATCTTTTTACCCACTCACACACTTGTGAAATAGAGGGCCACTTCATTCTACCTGAGGCTGTGAGGGCATGATGTGGCTCTCTTATCCACTTGTTCCACTGTTCTCGCACTTTTTCCTTAAATGGCTTATTCACCGATATATTTAAAGGCTGCAATTGGCTAGTCAGTCGACCAGGAATGACAGCTATCTGGGTTTTTAATTCTCTCACTTTATTCTTTATGGTTTCAGTTCTATGGTCACTAAACTGATCCAAAACCAAAAGAGAGGGTTTTCTTAAGAGTCCACCAGGTCGCCTTGCCCATACGTTCTGTAACAACAGTTTCATTCCAGCTTTGTCCGTCCAGCCTTTTGGATGAACATGAACAATTACACCCCTTGGAAGTTTTTCTTTTGAATATGAAAAACGGGGGTAGTTTTGTGCCATCAGCACAACATGTTAGAACTACCATATATCGGGTTTTTTCATGACCTGTGGTTTTTTATGGTTATTGATTTAGACCCTTTAATACTCACAGTCAGTTAGATGGTACATCAAATGTGAGTGGAATTTCATCCATATTTCCTATTTGACCGAGCTCGAAAGAAGTTTTCTTGCGTACATTTATAACAAACCTATGAAATGCTAGTATTTTTTATTCATAATCTGCTGGCATTTTCTGTGCACTAGTTGTTTTTGTGCACATTGATAAGCCTTGCCTTTTCATGAACCTGTAGAACCAACCCTCAGACCCTGAAAAGTTCTGATTCCCATGTTTTTCTGCAAATCCTTTGACCTCATTGATTATCATTTTGGTTGAAACACTTATCCCAGATTTCCTCTTATGTATCACCCACATTTTTACGGCATTTTCAAGTTCAGGCCAAGATGGAGCTGGGCATTGAAGGTTATGTTTTTGTTTTTTAGCAGTCTTCAGTTGATCTTCCTGCAGTCGCCAAGTACGTATCATTTTTTCGGTAGGTGGTGGACCAAAATGCCTTGCTGCTGCTGCTCTGTTTCCACGCACTTTGGCGTAGTTTAACACTCCTAGTTTATACTGAATTGTATAGCTTAATCTCTTGTTTCCTGTAGTCATATTTTCCAGGGTATTTTTTTTAAACAAATAGTTTTAAGCACCGATACCGACACGTTTATACAGAGTAGCACCAATACCGAGACATGTGTCGGCTGAGTTAAAGAAAGTCTATGTAAAGAAGGAAAGGTTCCATGGACGTAATGTGACCGTCGAACCTGTTCGAACTTCGACATCAGCTTCGAGCTTTGCCGCTTTTTGGCGACATATATTTCACGCATGCGCAAAATAATTATGGCAGATGTAGAAAAAGTTATGTGTGTCTAGACCTTTATCCGGGCTAAAAATAGCATTCAGTATTGAAAGTTAACCTGTGTCCTTCACGTATAAGATGCAGGTAACTTTTTTGAGAACAAATTTAGGAAAAAAAGTGCGTCTTATATGCCGTCAAATATGGTAAATAAAAAGTTTTAATCAAAACATTAAAATTATATTTTACCCATACATTCTATAAACACTTATCTTCAAACAGGAAAAAAATATTTTACAAAGAAATCAATCAACACAAAGAACGTCTTTTCTGCAACATGAGCTTTTATTATGAAAAAGCACTTGCAAATGTAAATTATGCAAAAAAACCAGAATAAGTATTATTTTTATGAATAATAATTATTTTCCATTAATTTGCCATATGATAGATACATTCAGATGAAAAATATAAATATTGTATGGAACATAAAAAAAAATGACAGTACCTTAACTATCAGTAATATCATTGTGTTCTTGGATCAATATCAATTTACTCAGCATATTCTTGTGCACATTCGTGACATAATTTTTGTGTACCTACCAAACAAACTGGCATTTTACAACTTGCACATAAATACGAAGGTTTCAGTTCTTTCTCTAATATTTCATTTGTGAAAAGGAGTTCCCAAACGCTTTTAGGATCCATATTTTCACCCAATTTTCCATATGCTCTTAATCCTGGAAGATGAACTATATTATATTATGCACGGGAGTTCTCACATTTTGTTGAGGTTCAATAGATGACCACTTGAAGCAGTTTCTCCCACAATAATATTTTGTAAATGGAATGGCTTCAGTCTCTGGTTCAGTGATTCATTGTTAGATTCAGAAAGTTCTGATATCGTGGAATGCGAACTTTCATTTGCAAAATCTTCTTGGCATTCATCTTTGTCGCTAAATTCACCTCCTACTTCATCAAGAATTCTTTGCAGCTTTTCTGCGTAACGTGAATCAGAAGGATATCTCGCGTTTTGCAGAAGACCGAGTCTCAAAGCCATGTTTCCACCTGAGACAGAAATTGTAACACTGAGAAAGAGGTGCGGTCTGACATACCGCTCTCAGACAAAGGACTAGAATTTCACGATGAAACAGGTGCAAAAAATGTTAGCTAATAGGTGAGAATTATCAAGGTCATGAAAGAAGAAGCTAGCAGGAGAATCCACTCAATCAGACTAAATATAGAATATTGGTGATAGGAACAACACCTGTATCGGTATCTGAGACCGCACCTCTCCAGTTATCGGTTAATTTTCCAATAGCTTCTTGCATTTGGACAAAATAACAGTGTGAAACCATTTTCATTATCTTGTGACCCAGCTGTGCCTACTCCTCTGCTGTAATAAGTTTGCTTTGGCAACTTTTACCAGAAGAGACCTGCCTCATCACGATTAAAAACCAGTTGCAGGAGATGGCCTTCAGAATTCACAAGCTTTTTAAATTTGCCAATGTAGTTTTCCACTGCCTTTATGTATCAGCTTACTTCTTAATCCCTCACATCATTGTGGATACTGGTTCTTCTCTTAAACTATTCGAACCACCTACAGTTTGCCTTGAATGCTTCTTCATCCTTTGATGATCCTGGCATCTTGTTAATGAGGTCAGCAAAACTTAGTTAAGGCCAATATATAAAGTCCGTTTAAAAGTAACATATTTCATTTATGAAAGATGGTAAGTACATTTATAATTAATTCCAAAATCTCAAAGTTTACCAAGGAATTGAGTGGAGTGGCTGCATAGAGCTTCCTTTATGAGTGATATAAACATGGGTCACTTTCCCTTAACACAGGACTTCTTAAACTTTTTTCAATTGCAACATCTTTTTATCACTCAGATTTTTTTCACGACCCCAGGACCCCATAATATTTACGAAAATTTTGTGGGACCCCATAACCATAGTGCAAATCCGACACATGCATGAGTGAAACTGTCAATTTTTTCACTTGTACTGTAATGTACTATTGCAATTTTATGTCATTAACTTCTAATTTTAAGACATAGTGTGAAAATTTTAAATAAGTAACAGACAAAATGACGTCATGCACAAAGCAAGTAAAATAAACATTCATATTATAAAAAGAATGCATCAAAAGGTTTTCATTTTTTCTTTGTCTGTATTGTCTTATCTTTATCTATTTTCAGATACATTGCGTAAAAATATTTTGTAATCGCAAAATTATTATAATATGTTAAAGAAATATCAAAACTACTAAAATTTTTGGTGACCCCTTGCTGCAGGTCCGGCAACCCACAGTTTAAGAAACTCTGCCTTAACACATTCTCTATGGCATTTCTTTCTATATGCAGATTATTTATATTGTGTTTTGTTATAATCAAATTGTCCAGTTGAATCCAGTCCAATAATAAATTCTAGTTTTGAGCCTTTTATAAAATATATCCATTAGTTATTATCATTTAACAGTTTTTCAGACTTTAATATAGAAAAATGTGCCATGGGAAATATAAAATATTTTCTGCCTTCTTAAAAGCTGTTATTTTAAGTTTTAATATAAAAGGCAGCATAATATAATATCAGTTTACCTCATTACACTAGTTCCATTCAAATCAAAAATTAAATTTAAAAGGTTAATTTCTTAGACTTATGCATTACCTAATTATGAAACAATATTTCTGCATAAAAATGATATTTTTAAAATTAACATAAATAAATTTCACATTGTATACTTTCAGCTCACTATTTCAGCATATCTAACAAAAATGGTCAATTTATTCACATATTTTGGTACATTTGAAAACTAATGCTTATTAATCTATTAATTTCCTTAATCTGTGCAGGATTTCTATAAAGCTGCTGTATGTAGAAACCCTGTTATTGATATAAGTGGTAAGTGTATGATTTTTTATATGCATGTATTTTATCCATTTTTATTCTTTTCACATCTAGAAAAAAAATTACTTGTGTAAATTATTTGAAGAATTCATCTCCAAGAAATAACTTCTATTATAACTATGAAATTTGATGATAATATGGTTGTATATAATTGCTAAATGAGTCTCTTTCTATTTTTTTGCTTTGCTTAAGAGGTTATCCTAATTTGACTTTCTAGAATCTTCTGAATCTTGAACTCATACTTAGTTAACTTCCAAGTCTCTAAATAGCTATTTCATGTAATTTTCACATCAAATCAGTACTTGAGTCTCATTCAACTTTTAATTACTTTATTAAAAGCAAATTTAATATTTGGAAAAAAAAAAAACCACTAATATTGAGAAATAAACAAATTTTTATAAAACAGAAGAAAATTGTTTTTTGTTACTGCAAATAAAAATAATGTAAATTGTAAGTTAGCTGACGTAAATAAAGAAGAAATTTTCAAAAATTGAACAGGCAAAAAATTTTGGGAAACGAACTTTTTGAGTTAAACTAAAATTCTAATTTCTTATCTTAGTAGTGACACATCGTTATTTAAAGTGACACATTGATTTTTTGATAAAATTTAGAGGAGGGGAAAATTTAGGCTCACCATCTATTCTAAAAGTTTCATGCTAATATCATAAAATGCTTTTTATACATTTTTTAGTATTATTCTTCATTTGTAAGGCTGTTAAATTTGATTTTAAATGCAGTTTTCTCAGTTTTGCATTTTTTCATATCTTTAAACTTTATAAATTTGAAGATACTCAAAAGGTGGTATAAAAAAATTACAAGTCATCACTTTTTTCCTCCCCTTGTATATTTATGTGTATGTGTCAGCTCATGCAGCACCCAGCTCTCAAGGGGCTGCATACTGATCTTCTTCCATAAGTTCTCACAGGCGAGCCTCATCAACATCAATAGGCCAGCCAGAGCGCTCTCCTTCTTGAATGTCATAGTCCTTGTTTTTGAACTTTCGGTACCAAACCTTCACAGTGTCATATGATACTTATAATTATGGATTTGGGCTTCTCCGCTTTTCTTTCAGTTGTCCTGCAAAATTTGTGAATGATAGTCATGCCTCTTCTGATTTTACCACTTATTTGATGAAATGCTTTGAAATTATTTGTTTGATATGAAAAATGTGTGTTAAAGACATTATTTGAAATTTTTTATTAAAAATTTTTTTTATAAATGTTTTTCTTAAAATATTATAATTTTGAAATATTACAGGATATTTGAGAAAAGCATACTGATATCAAAGGAATTGCAGAAAGCATTCAAATTAAAATTAAATCTTAAGTAATGTTTTTTTTCTGAATTGTTAAATAGTTTTAAAGTAAGATAATATATTTATTATTAAATTATTTTAATATATTTATTGTTTATATTATTAGTCATTTATATCAATTTTAATTTTATATATTTAAATTTCAAAAACTTAACATTTTGGGAAATTAAAAGTATTTTTCATGATAATTTCATGTTTATATAAGTTTTATAAAGACTTGTAACATAATGAAATTTCTTAATAGTGAATTATAAAGTATTCTGCCTGAAAATTGTCATTTAGTGCTGTGACAAAGAGCTTCAGAGTCAAAGAAATTATTGCATTCTATAATCATATTAAAATGAAGAATAGATACTGGCAAACAGCAGAAACTGAGAATCAATGTTTAATCCTTTATTCTTTTATTATTAACCTGGTCATTATGGTGTTTTTATATGCCAGAGTTTTCTCTTAGATATATCTTTTTACAAATTCATTTTCAAAACTATGCCTAAAAATTAGTTGGACTACTTTAAGATTTGCATTTTATCTTAAAAACTAAAAGCGTAGTCAGTCAAGTATATTCAAGACTGTGACTTGATCAAATCATTTTCTAGGCTGTGACTGAAAATGCTTGGCAAGTTCTGCATATTGCTCAGTAAACTACAAGCATGTTTCATGCTGATTCAAAGATAATTAGCAGCAGTTGTCTCATATGTTAAATATAAATACCAGAAATATGTTATTTGTGTTTTTAGTAATTCTCATGTTCTTGTAAGTAAATATTGAAATTAAATTTTCCTTATAGGAAAAGTTGAAGCAACAGATATACCAGATTGGTATGTAACAATTGTGATTTTGATTTATATTTTGCTGCCAGATGGATAATTTTTTTTATAAATTGCATTTTACGAATACTTTAATGTATTGACTGAAAAGAGTTAATAAATGCTAGATAGGTATCTTTGTCGTCAAGCTTTGTTTTTATTTAATAAAACAAATCAAACGATTCAAAGGAAGTAAAATGTATTAGTTTATAGATTTATAAAAATATTACTTTATGCATGAAAATTTCTTTATGTATAAAAATAGAAATAACGAGCATATGTTTCTTGTATTTTGTAATTTTACCTAAGGAACAGGGGATTGTCTTAAAATTTGCTTTAAAATAGATTCAGATTCAGATTGCATTTTATGAATACTTTAATGTATTGATTGAAAAGAGTTATATGCTAGATAGGTATCTTTGTTGGCAAGCTTTGTTTTTATTTAATAAAACAAATAAAATGATTCAAAAGAAGTAAAATGTATTAGTTTATAGATTTATATAAGTATTACTTTGTGCTTGAAAATTTCTTTATGTATAAAAATAGAAATAATGAACATACATATCTTGTATTTTGTAATTTTGCCTAAGAAACAGAGGTTGTTTTAAAATAGATTTCATTTAAATGTAACTTGTGAAAAAAAAAGCATTACATGATATTCCATTGTATTACATAGGGTTTCCTTATAAGTTCATATACATCTCTTTAACTTTTGATTGAAGTGTTCTAGAACTGTGTATGAAGGGTCTTCTGTTTAAAAGTCCTCTTTTAAAAATGAAGCTAGGGGGTAATTTTTTTTTTTTTTTTTTTTTTGTCTGTTTGTTTAATATGGAAAGGCATAGAATTTGTGAAATCTTTTGTTTACAGAAAATAGAAAATGAAGTTAATATGGTGAACAGTTATATTTTTTAAATAAAAATATTTCTGCAGAAGATGGATGTATTTTGAAAATCCTTATTCTTTATTGATGGATTGTGAGTAAGCATACTGGTATTCCCATCATGCGGCATTTGGTACAAAGGAAAAATGAAACTGGAATATCATCATGTTTTATGGATCTTTCTTATATTTTTTCAAAATACTTCTCAGCAATTATTTACATCTTGGTAATTTTTCGCAGCATTTATTATTTATGAATAAGGTAATTCTGAAAACAAAAATAAAAGTTAGCTTATTAAACAAATTACTTCTTTTCTATATATATTTTCTTTAATTATGTTGTTGTTACTGACCCTAACTGGTTAGACATTAGACTGACGAAATCCACGAGTCCAAGAAACGTTAATATTTTTTTGACTTACTTAGGTAGGTCTTTTCAATAGGTCCTCTATAAGTTCCACACAGATGATATGTCCAGGAATGAAATGATCAGCATTACATTTCCTACAGATGGGATAGATCTTGTTTCCTTGGTCAAATTTAAGGCATTTTAGGTGTCCACTTAGGAGCCTCGTCAGACTAGTCTGCCGAGCATGATTATCCCGAAAAGCAACAGCACCTTTGGCTGCTTGCCAAAGTACCAATCATGAGCCGGAGGAGAATGCCAGGAAGAGGCAACAGTAAATTTAACTCTCGAGCAGATCTCCAAAAAGGTCAGGGTGCCAGTGGTCACAATCACTAAAGTACCTTCCTTAGCCAAAGCATCAGCCATTTCATTACCACTGTGGATGTGAAGTATCTTCAGTATGTGAAGGGATCCATTGCAGATGTACAGTGTTCCCTCGCCACTTCATGCTTCATGTTTTGCGGCTTCAGTGCTTTGCGGGTTTTTCCAAAATATTCATCAAAAAATAAAAATGAAAAAATACAACCAAACAAAGAGATGAGTTGACTTGGAGTACATACCACGGGCTCTCATAAAGGCGCGTGATTGGTTTCCGGTGCGACATTGACCAATGAGAGTATGAGTGGATTGTTTGCGCATCATCGCACCCTCACCTAGCATATTCTCTTGTATCTCGTCAGTCTTGTCCGTGATGTTGACTGTCTCGCATGCTGTATTTTAGTGCTGTGTTGGGGATAACTTTTTTTGTTTAAGCAATAACTTTTTTTATTAATTAAACCCTTATATTGCCGCCTAAGCGCTGTGCCCCTGCGAAAGCTTCCTCCGGGGTGCCCAAAAGGAAGAAGATGATTACCATCAGCGAAAAAGTGAAACTTTAGATATGATCAAAGAGGGCATAAGTTATGCATCTGTGGCACACCATTATGGGGTGAATGAATCTACAGTGCAGTACATCAAGAGAGAGCAAGCAAACATCCACAAAACTGCTTCAATAAAGATGTGAAACGTGTGGTAACTCCACGTAATAACAGAATTGCGAAAATGGAAGTTGCACTGGCATTGTGGATTGCAGATTGCAGGAAAAAGGATAGTGAGTCTGGACACTAATATCATCAGGACAAAGGCCAAAGCTCTCTATGACTAAATCTTGCCCGATGATGACAATGAAGAGGATGAAGAAGGTGCTGATGAACCTCAAGCCAGTAATAGCGCTGCCAGAAGTGATTCACCTCCTCGAGGACAAGGCTTTTCAGACAGCAAAGGCTAGTTCGAAAAATTTCAAAAAAGATACGGCCTCAGAAATGTGCTTCTGTATGGCGAGGCTTCTTCTGCTGACAACGATGCTGCTTGTCATTACATGGAGGAAGAGTTTCCTAACCTCATCAGTAAGGGAGGCTACCTCCCTGAACAGTTTTCAAAATGGATAAAACATGCTTTTTTTGGAAGAGGATGCCTTCGCGTACATTCCTCTTCAAGGACTAAGTGAAGAGGCCAGTCTTCAAGGCAAAGACCATGTGACTGTCATCATAGCTGGCAATGTTGCAGGTTTTATACTTAAGCAAGGCCTTATTTATAAAACTAAAAATCCACGGGCATTAAAAATCAAAGATACGATTCTGTTGCTCGTGTTCTGGATGCATAACTTCAAGGCCTGGATAATGAAAGCTCTGACCCTTGAATGGTTCCTCCATTGCTTCATTTCCCAGGTGAAGCTGTATCTGGCTGAAAATGGCCTTCCCTTTAAGTTCCTTCTCCTGATGAACTGTGCAGGAGGCCATGCAACGAACCTGTAATATAACGCTGTGCAGGTAGAGTTTCTGCCCCCGAACACTACATTTTTAATTCAGCCGATGGATCAAGGTGTCTTTCGTGCCTTTAAGGCACTCTACACTCGTTCCATGATTTGATGATGGCAATGACGAATTTACCTTGAAAGCATATTGGTGCAGTTATGACATTGCCTCACGTTTGTCTAATATTCAGCGAGCATTAAAGGACATGAAGAGTGAGACCATAAATTCTAGCTGGAAGAAATTATGGCCAAACGTGGTGCACGACTATCCAGGCTTCACTCCTAAAGAAGTTAATCACCCAGCAATGAGGCTGGCTCACATCATAATGAATGAAGGATTTGTCGACATGACAAAAGAAGACATCAGCGCCCTTATCGATTGCCACTCGGATCCACTGACTGATGAAGACCTCCTTGAGATGACTAAGTCTGCAAGTGAGGAAGAAAACAAAGAGGAAGATGAAGAAGAAACTGAAAAGCGTGGCCTTACCCTGGAGAATCTGCAACAATTGTGCAACATGGCAAGAGCGATGCAACAATTTGCACAAGACATTGACGACAATATGGTTCGAGCTGTCGAGTTCAGCAATCGCGTTGACAGGGTTATGGCCTTGTACAGGGGAATTTTGAAGGAAAAGGAAAAACAAAGACAGCAGCTACCCATCACCATGTTTCTCTCCAAGGTAAAGCCCCCGGCTCTACTGTCAGCACCTTCAGCAGAAGAGTCTCCGAATGAGCTTAAAGCTTCTACAAGTCAAGTGCAAGCCTCTCTTCCGCCATCAACACAAGACTTTTCGCCTCTCTCAGGAGCAATGTTGATTAATGTTTATTACTATATAAGGTTTTGTAATTAACCTTATTAATTAGCACTGACACGCTTAAGTAAATACGTATACTGTTGTAATTTTTGTCTTAAATGTGTAATGTATAAATACTGTTTACATATTTAAAACATTCTTCTACCTGCATACATGAAAATTCCTAGGGGCAAATCCTACTTCATGGTTTTTCAGCTTTCGCAGAAGGTTCTGGTCTCCACTAACCATGAAAAACGAGGGATCACTGTATTTCATGACGGGAAGAAAGTTTTTGCAGTAAAGCCAAAATAGAGAGTGAAGCCTTTATCACCAATACGAGGCCAATTTTGCAGATGCTGGATAGAACTGCAACTGCCAGTCGAAATCCAGATATCTTTGCAGGCAGTACAAGTATATGCTGCCTTAAGGACCTCCTCAATTGCTATTAGCTCAGAATGAAAAACAGAACAATAATCAGGGTTTCTAGTCTTAAAATTAAAGCCATTAATAGGTGTTCTGATGAAGATTCCACTACCGCAATTCCCATGTTCATTTTTACTGCTCTCAGTGAAAATCTGAAGGGCTAGAAGGAATGCCATTTAAAGTTTCCAGTGCAGTCTGCCGAAGATAATCCGCTTTTTGTTGATATAAGTGGCTAGATCTGTGTGAAAATAGATACCAGAAAGTTCTTCCAGTGGGTTGATAAGTTTCAGTGAGTATCTCTCAAATGTTATATCTATTAAACCCATGAGATAAGAAAAAGGGCAGTTTCTTTTCAACTTTTCATGAAAAACTCAATCATGAAGAAGTATACAAAGGTGCAATTATGACTATAACTGTATAGTTCATTAAAGTACACTCATGTCCATAAATTAAGGATAATGCAAAATCAGGCAAAGGAAGAGTTAGAAGCAAAACAAATTTGAATTATTTGTAAAGCTTATTTATTAAACAAAAGGTAAAGAGCAAAAAAAAAAAGTGCTATATGTTTGATATTATTAAAAAAATTAGCGATTTTTTTCTCCCTGGAGCAAATTACAAAAAAAAAAAAAAAAAAAAAAAAAAAACTATTTAAAAAAACCAATATTACATGGTTGTTATGATTGTTAATATATTGTATGTCTCTCAGACAATGCAATACAGTCACTACAACGCCTAGGCATGCTGAGTATCAAATTATCGATCTGATCTTGGGGGATATTACACCACTCAAAAAGCAATGCTCTCCGAAGTTCCGGTAGACATGTAGGAGGAGGTTGATGGGCTGTTACTCGTCGGCCAAGCATGTCCCACACGTGCTGTACTGGATTCAAGTCCGGTGAAAATGCTGGCCAGTCCATACGAATGATATCCTCCGATTGAAGGCATTCGCTTACGATGTTTGCACAGTGAAGACAGGCGTTGTCATACATAAACACAAATTGTGCGCCCATGGCACCCCGAAACAAGCATACATGTTGTTCCAGAATGACGTCCCGATAGATTTGGCTTGTCATGGTTCCAATTTGAGCATGCAGGTCAGTTCTGGAACCCAGAATAATTCCACCCCAAACAAGCACTCCTGCACTACCGTAATGGTGTCGTTCAATGATGTTTTCTTGGTGGTAACGGGTACCTGGAGCTCTCCATATGAAAGTCAGGCGAGAATCAGACTGCAAGCTAAACCTGAACTCGTCTGAAAACATCACACAAGCCCACTGTTGCTGTGCATAACGCATGCTCTTTACTCCAGGCTAACCGCAGGCAACAGTGAGTTGCAGTAAGTGGAACGCATCTGACAGGTCTACGAGCATATAAACCAGTCTGCCTTAAGCGTCTGTATACGGTCTGCCTTGAAATTGTCGTACCAGTGGCTGAAGAGACAGGTCTGAGGCTGTGCTCCGCCTGTTTCTTTTGGCAATAACTGCCAAATACCGGTCCTCATTCGGCATTGTAACTCTGGGGGTGACCTATGCTGTAACATCTACTCACATTACCATCATCTTGGAATTGTTGCCAAAGCCTGGAGATGACACTCTGGGCAATTCCAAGTTCATCTGATACTTCCAGTTGGGTACGCTCACATTCCAGACGGCCGATAATTCTACCATGTAAAAAATCATCCAAATGCGTCCTTTGTGTCATAACTATTCGGTTATTGCACTGAAATGCTTATAAAGCGCCTGTGAACAATTTTACTTCTTTGCTTGTATTCCTTATATATCACTCTCTTACATTCTTGTCATTGTAACATACCATTGGTATCATCTGCTTACTTCCTGAAATTTGCATATGATTCTTGAAGATGTGTGTAGTGATTTTACAGGTGATATATTTATTTTAGAGTTCGATTTCCGCATGACTCCGAATCATCCTTAATTTATGGACATGAGTGTATTTTGACAGTTGAATTATTTCAGTTAGTTTAAATTCCTTGAATTATTTCAGTATTAAATGAGAAATTTTCATAATTATAGCATTTCATTAGCCTCTTTGTTTGAATATATGTTATATGTGAATAAGACATTTTCCCACATTAAATACAGAATACTTAATTGAAAGTTTCTCCATCTTGCTTTGCTTTCTGGACAGACGTTCTAGCATCGTCATTTTACTGCCAAAAGCCTAAAAATATTTAGAATCAATAGCATATAAGTTATTTTCTCTTAGATTTTTTATCTGCAGGTTTAAATTTCTTGATCAAAAATTAGAGGATTGGATAGGGACTTAAGTGAGAAACTAGAATGTTTAATCTGCTGAGCACTCAGACTTTCTTGAATTTGCAGCATGTGTTATTTCAGTTTATATAATACTAAATTTACTCGTTTTCACAACCTTGAATTAATTTTGACCGTAGGTCTTTAAAGAAGATATAAAAGAAAATTTTTTTGAAATAATAATTGTTTATATACAACTGGCAACAAATCACTTGATTTGATAAACATGATCATGTTGCTCTGGAAGGTTGAGTAATAGCTGTAATGAACTGAGCTTTTTCATTTGAAATTAACACCAGAGGTCAAATTTAACAAATTACTTGTCAGTTTAAAGGTAATTTTAACATAAAGAGTAATATGTGAAACAGATAAAAACAGAAGGATATTTCTTTAATGACTTGATACTAATTGAGTTTTTCTTGTATTTACTCTACTGTACATCATGCACATTGTCACGTACAAGAACCAAATTTCAAAATCATCAATTATAAAGCTATGCAATTTAAATATTTGATTTATTAAATCATCTCGTCATTCAAGAAATTTGACCTCCTAGTTTCAAGCTCCTGAAGAGCCTGTGTGTAAAGCAAAGTTTCTAATTCCAAAATGTCCTTGCCAATTTGTATCTGGGCTCTTCCTCATAAAATGCAGCACAGTATTTCAAGAATCATGTGCATTTCCCCATTTAGAAGTACTGAGCAGAAAACATTGTATAACATTTAATATACAGTTTGATGGTTGCAGGATGAAAATAGTTATTATAATAAATAAATTTATGCAAATGAATCTTGATGAAATCTTTTTTTAATAAGAAGGAGATCCATCAAGAATAAATTAGTCATAAATATTTATAACTTGTTTATTTATTTATTTGAAGGGCATGGGTAGAAACAGGACAAGAACAGAAGTTTAATCTTTCAGCAGTTGTTGACCCAGATGTTTTGAAATGCATGTGGGAGAAGTCTCCAATAAAATATATAAAAAATGTAAGTAATTTAAGACTTCAATAATATTTATATTCTGTATCTGAAAAGCTGTTGCCTCTGTATTTTAACTGTCTGAGTGAATATTTGCATTTTGATTGTACAATTAAATTTTCAGCAACTAGTATATATTGAAGCCTCATTTATACTCTGTATCAAAAAATGATCTAGAATAATACACATTATCTAAAAAAGTGTGAATAATAATTCGTCTTAAGTAGTGCAAATAATAAAAGAAGTACTTGTAAAGAATCACTATTATTTTTAATCAAAGATGTGTAATGTTAAAAACAGTACAAAATGTGGTATATTTATCAACTTGAGAGTTAATCATAAAAATAACTAATGAAACTACTCATACAAATTGTACCCAAGCAGCTTTTAGGAAAATTGTTCATACTTTTCTTTTAATTCAATGAAAATTATTTTATGCATTGTATTACAAAACTGATGGGTGATGTTAAATAGGAAATTGAAATTAGTTTTCACGTTTATACATTTGATCATTAGATAAATGATAACTGTAAAACAAAAAGGACCATTTCAACAGCTTACAAATAGTCTCAGTGTGCATAAAAATATTTAAGAATTTCCTAAATTTTATAGCCATCTGGTAAAGTTATTCCCATTATATATTATTAGAACTGTTTCAAAAGCTATTAGATATGTATGTACATATAAATGCTTAAAATAGATTTGATTAAAGTGAGTTTCTTTTAAAACTTTTAACTGTTTTGATGTACTGCACATTAAATATAATAATATTTTGATCATGTAAGTTCTCGATTTCAGCCAATTAGAATTTTAGAATCTCTTAAAATAATTACTAAGAATTTCCAATGCACAAATTTTTTAAGCTTAATTTTAGAAGTGTAATAGTATTATATTTATTATATAGGTTAATTCTATATAAATAGGTATCTGCACCAACTCTTCTTTTGGTGGGCAAAAAAGATTTGCGTGTTCCTCCAAGTCAAGCTTTCAAATACTATCACTTATTAAAGGCTCAGAATGTTCCTGTTCAGTATGTATATACATATATATAGATTTATTAATGATGAGCATTTCTTTTAAGAATATAAGAGTGAATATTTTCATGTACAAATATTTTTATAATCTACTGAATACGTCAGTTTCTTTTGAGATTATCCCTCCCATCAAAAAAAGGGGGGAAAAGGTATATTTAAAATATAGCATTTTGAAAAAATTATCAAAAGTTAGCAGTTTTGACTTTCTATTCAGCTACACATTGTGAAAATTTATTTATGGACTAACAAAATTACATCTAAAACATCAAGTATTTTTACTTAAATATGGAATTATAGTAGCAAAATATCTCTATAATGATTTTAGTTTTAAGAACTGCTTCCATTTTGCAATCTTATCCTATCATGTTGTAGAATATACTCAAGAAATCCACTTTTGATTAAACTTTTAAGTGATTTTTTGGTGTTGAAATGTTTTAGTTTATGTATTTAGACTTATTTTTTTTTCTTTCAACTTTATCAAATTTCAGTCAGTGACTTTAGTGTATTTTGCAATAATTGCCTTTAAAAGCTATTATTGAATTTATATTTTATTGTTGAAGGCTATTACTGAATGTGATGTTGGTGTTTTAGAACTGATTAAGATATTTTTTTAATGAAAATATAAAATGGTATTGATAGCATGTAAAAATGAGAGAAATTTGCTTTTGCATTTCCTTAAATACTTACACCTGTAACGTTATTTAAAATATATTACCTAATAATACAGATTCTTAAATTCAAGGGAATATTAATTGAGTATTTGAAAGGAAAATTAGAAAAATGAAAACTACAACAGTTTAAAATGTAATTGAAATAAAAGACAATAAATATATCAATGAATGGCATTGATTTCGGAAACAGATGGCTATACGTATACACAGTTTATTAAAAAAAAGAAAAATTCCAATGGTAAGTATTAGTAAAATAATTTATTCAATAGAATTTTCATTCTATGATAATTAAATGAGGATGCTGTATCAATTTATCAAATATAAAGTCTGTTACTTTAACTCAGTTAACCTAGGAAGTTTCTATAGCTGCTGTTGGTTTTAGAGGAAAAGTATAATTTATCATACCAGTCATTCCGCATTCCAGATTTTATGAAAAGGTCATAAGATTAACTCCTAGTGCAATATAACTTTTACATTATATAATGTGGCGAGTTAAGTGGGCAAGACGTTAATTGGAATTCATCCTTACGCTCCTCAAACGATTCCAACACAATTGGAGCTTTGTGACATGGGGCATTGCATTGCTGGAAGATTCCATTACCAGTTAGGAAGACACATGCCAAGTAAGGGTACAACTGATTCACAGTTATGTTCAGATAGTCTTAGCTTGCATGGTCTGTTTTATCACAACTAAGGGTCCCAAAGCATAATCATCCCCCAAAATACTGCTACTACCAGCCTGTGTATGACCTGCTGTACAGGGGAAGGAACAACTATTCGCTTGGGAATATGGCATACCTTGACACCACCAACATAATAAATGAGAAACTGTAGTTCATCCGACCAGGCAACTATCTTCCACTTTTTCATGGTCCAGTCTCAACGTTCCTGGGCACACTGTTTCATAGTTGACTATGAAACTTGGTCAACAGAGGCACACGAATGAGACATCTGCTGCACAGTCCCATATCCAACAGTGTCCGTTGAACTGTATGTTCTAAAACAATTGCACTCGGACCTGCAATGCATTGGGCTGTCAACTAAGCCACTGTCTGGTAACTATTTTGTAAACCAAGCAGGACAGTCTCTGATTTTTTTTTTTTTTTTTTTTTTTTTTTTTTTGATGACAGCCATAATGAAAACTAAATATTTTAACATGCAACATTTCATACTTTAAGAAATAATCTAAAAAATAAGAAGCCTATCATATTAAAAACCTAGCATCAATGAATATTCCTGTCTTATGTATACCAGATACAGGTATAGTTTCATATTCAGATCTTTTAATGTACAATTAATAGATCATAAGCCTCAGAAACAGTTACGTGCTATTGTGTAGAGTTTAAATAATGGATTAATCATGAATCAAATTTATCCATAATAACTATGATTTTTTCCCACAGGGTTTTTTGTTATGACGACAATCATGGCCTGAGCAAAGTTACTTCTTCAAGTGACGGTTTCATGCAGACAGTTTTATGGTTTAAAAAGCACTTATAGTTTGACAGTTAATATGCTTTTTGTAATTTTTCCTTACTTGATTTTAATTTCCTGGAATTACAGGAGATTTATATATTTTTGTAGCATAATTTTTGAAAACTTTAGTCATGTTTTGTATGTTTTTTCAGAGATTTTTACTTGCATCTTGAGATGCCAGCCTGTTTTCTGATTTGCCATAACAAAAACTACTAATATTTTACAATAAAGATTTAATATTTTGTACTTATAATAACAATAAAAAAAACTAAGAAGCCTATCTTAATTATTTATTATAAAATTATCATAATTATTTAAAAAATAGTGAATTCTGAATACACACGCTGTTACAAGTTTGTTTCTTCAATATTGATTATAGATATATATTTCCACTTACAATGCTGTTTTAATATAGGAAAGATAGAGATTTTTAAGAAATCATAATTTCAAAGGCAGAAAACTTAAGTTTTCCACTAAACTTCCTCTTAAGTAAAATACTTCAAGCAAAACCCTTAACCAAATCAGACTGCAGTTTTTATACCTTGTAGATGTCCATAAATTCTCATTACAAAAGTGTTGATAGATCCAAGTAATTTAATTAAAATAAATTTTTATACATATGCTATAAAAATGTACGATTTAAATAAACATATGTAGTTAATAAAAAACAAGAGATATAAAATATTTTACAATGAATTAGAAAATTTTTAACTTTATTAATATTTTATGCTTGTACATTAGCAACAGTTTCATAAGATGATCGTATAACAGTGTTTAATTGTACCTGAACTTGACTGAGATTTCTTTGCCATTTAGTCAAAATGTCACGTAGTTGTTGCCATTGAGGCTTACCAAAAGTTCTGTGCATAGTAGAACTCACAAGAACACGCTGCTGAAGTTCGTCTATCTTTGCACGGGCTAATTTTGTTCTAAGAACTGAAAATAAACCATTAATGTAAAATAATCAAAACATTCCAAATGAAATAGAAAATTCATTTTTAAACAAGCAATATGTAAATATGAATTTTCACCTTCTCACAAGGAAGGTGTTTCAACCTTACAGTCTCAGTAATTTTCAAAAATGTGTATAGAGACAGTTAACACATATTTAGAACAATTCCAATTAAAAAAAGGTGAATGTTTTGGAATAAAAATTTCTGGCTACAGCCTTATTTGAAATAAGAAATAGTGTTTGATATTTTGAAATACATTCTTTCAAAATATCACATGTAAACAAGCTGTGGATTGAAGGACATGTTTTTGTGCTTTTTGAAGAAAAATATTCAAATTCCATAAATGTTGCCAAATACATGACATTAAAATTTCCAAGTGCTAAATAAGGAACACTATTAATCAGAATGGGAAAAAATTGTCAATTATTAACTTCTGCATAAAAAGAAAACTCTAAACTACTCAAAAAAGGTATGCACTGTTTAAAATGTTAAACTGTTGGTAAAAAAGAAAATCTGCAGACACAGAAATCAATTGCAAAGTCTTTAAATATATCTATAGTAAGAATAAATGAAATCATAATACAAGATTTACAACTTAAAAAAACAATGTTGACTAGCCTTTGACAAGGCATGCCATAGATAGGCATACGTTTATCTAACTTACTGCCATGAAGAGAGAAAAATGCACAAACCTGGTTCCATCAATGCAAAGAAAGATATAATAAAGGATTTTTATGATTGTTCCTGTATTTCTTACAGCAGGAAATTGAAAAAAGAAGAGTCGGGAAAAAATGAAAATTAACTCAACATACTATCACAGAAAGTTTTACATCCAATATTTATAGCAAAAAATTACGTCTTAATCACAATGACTTTCAATGAGCGAAACTTCATCGTTATAAAACAGTAAGTCATACTTTGAACAGTACCAAAGTATTCCCTGAAAAAGTGAGGACTGATACAGGTATTGCATATATACCTTTTCAACGTATTCTTGCGAAGACTTCTGACATTTCACCTATGGAGTATTATGCCTTTGGCCTCTTGCAAAGCACTCTTTCTAAGCCCATGACAATTGAGGGATTAGTAGGAGTGAGGAAAAGTAGAAAAAGAATGGAAATCAATACCCTTGGATATTTTATGAAAAGCCCATCTATCATGGAAATCACAACACAGACTTGTAGTTTAAAAAAAAAAAAAAAAAAACTATCAGAAGGCTCAGGTGCGAGGCACTTCAACAGGCTGCTAGGCTGGGAAAGCTACATCCTGTGTGTATCGTCGTGTGAGAAAGCATATCTTTCCTGGCATAACATAGTGTAGTTCATTACTGAGAGAAAAATTTCTTGTGATAAGCAATGAATGAGCCTTACGCAAATACAGATCGAAGAGTCACTCAAATCATAAGCTGGAGATGTCAAGAAGTAATAAATATGGCAATACTGTAGGGAAAAGCATATCTTTGATGCCGCATACTACTGTCACGTCTTCGGCGCTCAAATGAAGGTAGAATGATTTGAAAAGAAGGTCTACGATAAGCTGGGAGGTGCTACTGGATCATGTGGTCCAATGGTCAACCTGGAAAGAGAGTGCATAGTCTTGCTCGTGAGACATTGGTCGGGTCAGACATTGGTTGTCCGCATTTGTTTTGATCTTCCAATTGCTCATCCAGGACTCTAGTGCATGGACGCGTCTTGATAGAGGATCGCGGTATCATCTGCATAAAGTGCTAGTGTATCGAGGGGGTTGTGAGGAATGTCGTTCGTATAAATTGAAAAAAGGGTGGGCGAAAGTTACTTTTCGTGTAGAGTACGTATTGTTATAACAAATGACAAAGTGTCTATCGTAAAGATAGGAATTAATGGTGTTTATGATGTAATCTGGGAACCCCAGAGTGATTAATTTGTAGGTGAGGCCATGTAACCATGCACAGTCAAAGGCTTTCGAAATATCGAGGAAGAGAGCTCCTGCGATGAGTTTTTTCTTGAGTCCATCTGCTATCATTTCAGTGACACGATAAAGTTGGTGCGTGGTAGAATGTTTACTCCTGAACCCATACTGCTGAGGGATGAGGATGTTGTCCTCTGTTCAGTATGACAGCTTCAGCTATTTTACTTAGGGTCGATAATAAACTTATTGGCCTGTACGATGTAGCCAGGGTGGGATCCTTTCCTGGTTTTAGGATTAGAGCGATGACAGCTATTTTCCAATTGGTTGGAAAATACTGCAGTCTTAGCATGGCGTTCAGCAGTTTGGTGAATTTGCATAACATTTTCACTTTCATCTGCTTGATCATTTTGTAGCTGATCTTATCCAATCCGGGACTTTTCTGGTTTTTTCTCTTCTCGATATAACTAATAACCTCTGATGGCATAATTAAGGGTGTGTTATCAGATCAAACATTTAAAAAATACTCTTCACATGTTAAACATCAATTAAAAGGCCCTGAAATATATCTAAATATGTGTAAACACATTCTGCATATATTTGATCCTATAACTAGAAATAAAAAAATGTGATAAATACTATAGATATAAGAAAATAAAAATATGTACATTATACTATTTGACAATTTTTCATAAATTTGAAATGCAATTTTCTGAGCCCCAGGATATTCAATTCTTGAAATGAAAATATTAAATAATAAATGGATACATGCCGAAGCTTAATTTGTAAGCATTTAATTCACATACGAGTTTCATTAATTTATATTTTTTATTAGTTATGGTTAGCAACATATTATTTTTACTCATATATTCTCTGCTTTCTCTGCTAATTTTACAGCTTGAAACTCAGAAGGGGAAAAATACACCATGTATGAAATTTCAGAAAAGACAGTTTAAATGACAAACACCTAGCAGGCACTTATGTATTATCCCATTGATCATGAAAATGTTGCTAAGCAGCACGATTTAGCATCAGTTATGGATAAGCATGACATAACACACGCTTTGTGACGACACAATTTGACATCTGGGCTTTCGTTTGATGTAACTCCGATATATTCTCTACAAGCTATAAATTAATTATTACTGTTATATTTTTATTGCATTTTGAAAACAAATAATTACAACTTGGGACCTGCCTTCTACAGAACAGCAAGCAGTAGATACTTTCAAAGTTATGGGATCCTACCATAAAAAATGTGCATAGATATGGACAAGATATGGTCAGCTGAATATCGCTGATGAAATAGGAATAGACTGGAACATTTACATACAGGAAGTTTGTACTCAGCTTTCTAAACAGAGCTTTCGTTAAAATTGGAGGATCTAATAAGATGGAAGAAACCAAACAAAGCCTTTTTATGAAATGCAAAAATGAAGCAGATCAAATACTGAATGTTTATTATATAAAAAGCCATCAGTTCCTTCCGCAGGAACAACTGCTCCAAATTCGGCAGGATCTCTGCCAACTTTCACAGTGAACACAATAATACCTAAGTACCACGTTGCACATTTAAAAAGCACACATAAAGACATACCAATATCATTATAGTATGTATTTCAAAGGATTTATCAATTTCAATAATATTCAAAATAATTTCCTATTTCTATATATATTTTAGATTGTTACCATAAATCAGAGGTTTTTGTATCATATGTTCATAAAACTGAGGCGAAATTAAGCGAGGGGGAGAAATATGCGAGTAGAATACTTATTTTCAACCAATTTGGTTTATGAGAGAATTTTATGTGTAATGTGTATACAAGCCAGTTTCCCTTAGAAAGTCCTCCACAAAGGCATCCCCCCTTTAGGCAGATAGCCGTCGTGTGCTTTGCCATAATTGAAAAATCCTTCAATCCCTATGAGAGAATATTTCATTTATGAAATTAATTTAATAAAGTTAAAAATTTTCGAAAATCAAGGCAGAAATTAAAGGTTGAAAAATGTGGCCAGAATTCATTGAAGTTCTGAAAATCATCTTCATAGGAGTATGATTTCTTTTGTATGCTCATGGTCTATAAATGATCTATGCTATAGGTGATGATCAATGTCCCAATTATGGTTAATCACTAAATACATACAACTGACGAAATATAGTGAAGAAATGATCAAAAGAATATATTTTACAATAGCTACATACATATACTGAACTGAATAAAAAGAGAGACAGTAACTGCAAAAAGCTGCAGTTTGTCTCAAATGCAAATGAACAGGTGTTTTTTTTTTTTTTTTAGCAGTCACTAACTTAAACAACACATAAACAACTTGGGTTTAATTTCAAAGTACAGATTTGCAATTTTGATAAAACACTAAGTAAGCAATGAAATTATCAGTTAAAATTTAACAAATTAAATACATAAAAATTCCTTTCAAAGCACAGCAACAAATTTTAATGATATCACTCTTTCTGATCACACAGAATAGCTGCATCTTTTTCAAAACAATCTGGAGTTCACAGATAGCAGAAAATTCCAAAAAAACCTTTATTTCTGCATAATAAGAACTAGAAGGTATATTTATTTTTCATATACTTATAAAACTGCAGCAGTTGCTCTTAAGGTTCAAGGAGCTACATTACTTTTCACAGTGCCCATGTTCATGGATTCAGAAGCTTCTGAGCATAAAATAATGCAAAACAGACTAAAAACATCACAATATACATGAATTTTTGATCAAGTCTAATTTTGCACATTACTTATTAATGTGGCTTTTTGAATATCCAATTAAGGAAAAAGACTAAGTAGAAAAGTGCACATTACTGCACATCAAAATATGGCATGCCCCAAAGCTGTTAGAACGGGCCATTCATTCAAGATAGAATGCAATCAAAAATGGGATATTTTTGTCATGAAGCTGAGCATTAATTTCAAGTTATTTATTAAAAGCCATTCATCATTTAAAAATACTTACCATCTATTACAAAACCTTCTACTTCTTCAGGTTTCAATTGTAATTCTGATTCAATTACACTGAAAGGAATTTCCTTACGAGTTTCAGCCATTTGCATGAATGTTAAAAGTCTCATTTTTTGAAGATTTTGTTCATGAGATAAACCTGAAACATAAAAATAGTCTAAAAACATTAAATCAAATCTTTCACAACTACTAAAATGGTTTAAAATGTGTTTTTAAAAAGATTTAACGATACAAAATAAATTAAGCAAATATTTTTTAACCATCTGTTTTTTATACATATTCATACATGTGAGTAAGGGGGGAATACAATGAATTTACATTAATAACACTGCTAGGTTGTTTATTACTTTGCACACCATGAAATATGAAGAGAAAACACGATTTATTAAGTCTTACTGAAGTTTGTTTCTGCCTTTATATACAACTGGAAGAGTAATAATTTTTCTACAGCTCTATTAAGTATCTGGATCTTAAACCATTATCAAATCTGTTAGCTACTTTCAACTGTATGATAAAAGAATTTAGAGAATAAAGCAAGGGTAACAGCTATGAAGTGTGCCAGTTGCTTTTAGGTAAAGCTTTGTTAATAAGTAAATCATTACCATGGAGATTTTTTTTTAAATGTGTAAATGATATGCAAATTTAATCATATATGACAGGTATAATCCAATAACGTATGAAAAAAATGTCTGGGAAAAAATTATAATTTAAAACTTTATTTTCCTTTATACATAATATTTTCCATATTTTAAAATATTATTCACTTTCAGTATTTGAGAAAGTTAAATTTAAAGTAAATTGCATCAAGTATTTTTATTACATTAATAACAAACTAATATCAGAATTTCAGTTCTCTCAGTAAAACCAAGAGATCCTCGATTTTTAATTTATCTCATTGTCTTCAAATATAGATCAAGGAGAAATATAACTAAGTATCCCTCCCTCCCCAAAAATTAGAAGTTTAAAAGAAATAAGTTATGCAGTGTTAAAGAAACTTAAATTGTACAAATTCCGTTTTCTCTCAAGTAATTTTTCTGATTAATTTTTATATGACATGAAATATTTTAATATATCACAGTTTATAAAGCATTTTTTGAAGATCTAGTTTTTATTGTGTAAACATTTATACTTCATTTTGTTTTAAATTTGTAAATGGCATATTAATCATATGCACATCAGTTACCAATATTTTCATTGTACCTGACAAATTTTGACGAGTATTTGTTTTTCCTTTCTACTCAGGTTCCCCAAACCAATACTGACTTAGTTATCCTAAATTTTAATTTAAAATATTTTACATTAAAAGTAATTTTATAACTAATTTAATAATTCAAACTATGCATTTGAATTTAAAATCAATTCACTTTGGAGTCTTTTTTACATATAATCACCTTATAACAAAACTATAAATTAAAAAATATTTTGAAATTTTAAATGACAAAATACAATAGTAAAAGATAAGTTCTGAAGCAGACTGACCACGGATAGTTGTGTACGAAAGGTATCACTTTACACAGAATATCAAGAAAACATTATCTTTTCAACACACACACACATCATTCACATATAGGCCAGTAAAATTTAAATAATAATGAAGGTAACCAATGAGGCAAGGTATACATTATGCATAAAAAATTTGATCAGAAAATATCCTAATAACCAATGTTGCTGTTTTTCAAAACTAGTAGCAAAATCGGTCTTAAAACATGAAAGCTTACAATAAAAGTATTTTTACAAATGATAAAGAAACTTTCTAAAGGCATATAATAATTTTTGCCTACATGATAAGTAGGATAAAACATGAAGTACAATTTTCTAAATTTTTAAGGTTCTCTAAAAATATATATTCCTTACCCAAAGAATTAACAAAATCTTTGTTGGCTGCATAAAATGCGAGATACGAAGATAATTTTTCAGAGACAAAAATGGTAAGTAGATCATGAATGAGTTCCCCTTCCAGAAATCTTACGGGTTTCAAAACAAGCAAATGATCCATAAGAAAAGTATTTGGGTCCCCTAGTGAGGTCACAATACATCTAAAAGAGATAGGTAATGAATAAGAAATTATACCTTATAATGATTTATACATCAGCTGCAGGTATGACATTATAAATATGAAATAGAATTATTTATACAGATGTATCATGATGTAATATGCTTAATATATAAGATGGAAGGTCAAAAATTATCTGCATTCATTTTAAATTTATTTACACAGAAGTAGATGACTCAAAAAAGGCAAGATCTAGGTTGTAAGCACGGTGTTCTAGCATCTGAGAGTCCATATGGTTAATAGTTTCAACAGATTGGTAGAACATGTATTGTCATGAAAATACTCTTTCTTCAGCAATAGGCATCGGTATCTGATATGAATGCTGGTTTCATATTGTTAGCCAGCAAATCATTGCACCTCTCACTGTTTATGGTACTTGATTATTCCAGAAAGTCTTCCAGCATCCCTTAATAAACAGTATCATCTTTTCTGTAGAATATTAAGTTCTGTATTTTTCTTCCTTTAGTGATCTTGGATGCTTCACTTTGTAGTCTGCCTTTTGGGATTCTAGCTCATTGTTATGGATGCTTGTTTTATCTCCTGCAACTATTCTACTAAAAAAAACTTTGCCTTCGTTGTTGTACTGATCAAATATGTATTAGCAGATCTTCAACACAGATTATACTTTTCAATTAGCACTTTTGGCACTCATCTTGCACAGTGTTTAGGAAAATCAAAGCCTATCATAGATGATTTTATAGGCAGAATCATAATTAATCTGAAGAATCTGACTACCTTACCAATGGCAACTTTCTAGTTAGCCAGTATCAGTCTTAAGCTTCCCGAATGCTTCAGTGTCAGTGATGAAGGTCACCAGGCACGTTGCCCAGTCTTTATGCATTATGTTTGTCTGATCACTTTTTAACTTCTTGATCTATTTATAGTTACTTCTGTATGTTATAGCACTTCCCACATTATATTGAAAGCCCTCTAATGAATAAATAATTGATACACTTTCCGACCGGAGAAATCAGATCACCGCTCCAAATTTCTTTATAGAACACACTGATAGCAGAGTGGCCATGCTTATATTGTCACATCAACAAGGAAAATGATGCAATCAAGGTCAAACTTTGATTATGTGATCACAGTAATATCAACTCTATGCATGCAGGTACAGAAGTCAAGTGCAAAGATGTATTAAGACTGCAAATAATTTTTGACTTCCCCTCATACATATATATCATATAATAATAATAGTCAAATACGAACATTTCTTCATTGTTTTAACACCGTAAATAAATTTCTGAAGCATTTGAGACTCAAGGATTATACAGTGTAATTATTGCAACTTACTTGTGTGCATCATCCCTTGCTTGAGATGCATTATCTTCAGTGTAAGTGCCCAACAACTCAATCATAACCTTAGCAGCTAGCTCACTAACAAAAAACATTGACAATACATGGTAAGTGATATTGTTACATTTGTTTCAAATTATGAAAATAAAAATATCATTAATAACGCACAAAGTTGAAGAGATTATGTAATCATCAGACTAATGCAAGTAAGGCATTGTTAAATAATAAAATATATAACAAAAATAGAAATTTTTAATTTATTACCCCTGTTTACACTCCACCAAAACTTCATGCAAAAGTCGCAACAATTTTTGCACCTTATCAGTACAGACTTCCAATTCAGACAGCCATGATTTCAGCTATAAAAGTAAAAATTTATAGCTAAACTACAAGTGCATAGTTTATGTCATGAAATAAAAAAAATACCCAATGAACTAAATTCAGTATGAAAAGTAAATTTATAAATATGCTCTTTGTAACTCAAATCACACGGTAGCACACCTCTAATGCATAATACCTTACATAAAATGTAGATTGTCATAATTAATATTACTAAATATTAATTATAAACATGACAGCAATGGCAAAAACTGAGTTACGTAGAGTACATGAAAGCCCTTTCAAATACAGAAAGTAGAAGCTCATAAGAAACTTAACATAAAAATGCTTCACACCAAGCATAAATGTGTGGAAAGTTCCCTGCAAAAACTGTTACTAAAGAATTTAAGCGTATGTTTATTACAGTACTAACACTTTTGAATTTCTTTAAAGTTACAACATTTCATGTCAACCATCTTTTGGGGTTAAATTCATATTTATACATAAAAAAAAAAAAGCTTTAAAATTTTATATTAGGCCCCAAAAAGGCAATTTTTTTCATTTACACATACATACACATTTTGACAGCATTTGAGCTAAAATTATTTAAAAACAGCATATCTTTCGAAATTCTAATAGACAGTTTCACATGCTGGAGATAAAAATATTTTATTCCGTACAGTTCGTTGCCACTGCTCACTTTGGAATAGTTGTGTTTCTTAATCAAAAATTTGTTAAAGTTTAAAAAATATGAAATAGATAATAAAACAAAATTGAAATTTAAGATTCATGTTTCCAGGTGCCCATATTCGGGTGGAGGACTATGTTATTTAAAATTTAATGGCTCTAGATATAGTTATTTTTTCACAATGCAAGAAACATACATACGGTCATGGAGATTCTTCATTATTTAATTTCTTTAAATATAATAGAGGGTGAAAATATTTGGCAACAACTTGAAAAGTGATACAGCTGTAGTGAATCGGTGAAAAACATCATTTTGAGACGAATAGCCCTTCTGGGTTAACAACCCTTTGATCTTTTTTTTTTTTTTTTAAACTCATTACAACAACCTTTAAAAATCCAGATCAATGGTTATAATAAGACCAATTTAAATTAAGCTTGCTATGAATTTATTTCCTATTAATTTTGCAACCATTTCAAATAATATAAAAAGGATAAATCAATGAATGTGATGCACATTCTAAGTAAGTAAATTAGTTTACTGTCATTCACATTCATTTCATTAATGCAATGGCATACCATAATATATCAATAACACATCACCATACATCATTGGTAAATTCTGAATCACCTGTATGAGTTTTTTCAGCAACTCACAATACCTGTCAGCATTTACTGTGGTGCAGATGCCACGAGTTCACCAACAACACCCTCTTTCGATCCCAAAATTACACGACAGTTGTCATTAAAAAAGAAATACATAAAAAAAATTCTTGAACTATTTTGTAGCACATTAATGAAATTTTACATTCATATCTGATAGGTGGCACAGTACATCAGTACTCTTGGAAAGATCCTTCTTGTGTGCCACACGTTTAAATTGTGATCAGTTATAATATATTACAACCATTTATGAAAAAGTGCTTGCTGTGTCTATTCTGCAAATTTCAAAGTGGATCAATTTCACGAACAGTGTATTAACATAAAATTTTTTGTTAAACTTGGAAAGAAATTTAGAGACTCGGCAAATATTAAAACAATTTTTAATGATCAGTATATAAATGCTATGAAGAGTTGCATGATTCAAGGAAGCTAACAATCAATCAATAATGATTTCCCTTTGAAACATCTGTTGCCTAAACTGACAAAAGTGGTTTAAATTTGTGAAATTCAGCAGTGACAGCATTCAGCATTCAAATCAGTGACCGACTTTACAAGAAATTGCAGAGATTACAACCTTCAATCAACAATACCACATTTTAACTGAAAAATAGGAAATGGACTAAACTGCTGCAAAATTCATTCTACATTTGCTGATAAAGGACTAGAAACATACTGCATTACAATTTGCCAGGACCTTCTATATGGTACAAATAAATATTTTGTTAGACATATGTTTTTTATTCTGATATCAATCTTCACAAAGTACTGGAAAAGTTTCTCCAAGGCAGCAAAAAAAAAAAAAAAAAAAAAATCTGATAGAGGTCAGACCACTAGTCATGTTAACAGCCTTTTTGATGTGACATAGTATCGATCACAAATTTTTGTCTGAGGGACAGACAGTGAATCACTAGCATTACCTTGAAGAGTAAGACAACTAAGACCCAAACTGTGAATAAATAAATCTCATCTCCTCCATCACAATATATTTCCACATGGATTTCATTTTTTAAAAGACCACGTAGAAACAAAATTTACTTGAAGATTTAACTTTGGGCAGAATGGGTTTCTCTTTTAATGGAAGTTAGCATGAAATAAGAGCTGTAATTCCAACCAAAGGGAACCATAGAGAATATTATTATAATAATGATTTCATTATATTTTTTGAACCAAAATCAAATGCATATATACTTTTGTCACATAAGATAGCCATAATTTAAATTTTGCTTTCTTTTTGAAACAGCTAGAAGAAATTCTTTAAAGTGCATCTTTCATTCAGTTTGTAATAAAACTGTATCTGTGACATAAAAGTTTTCAATTATCTTCAGTATTATAAAAACTGTACTTGTTGAGGACACCACTATCTGCATCCACAGTTAAATTTAACAACCATAAAGAAATTACAGAGTAAAATATAAATGGCATGAATATCCATATACTTCTGCTTTTACATTTCTTCAAATGATAAATTATTTCTCAATAATAATAATAATAATGCAGAAACAAAAGCAGCTTTTAAAACTCAAAATTCTTTTTCATTTGAGTTCCAATTTTATATCAACAATAAAAGTTAGGTTCACCAGATGACAGCAATACATATTCTTTTCCTTCTTCCCCCCCTTTTTTAAATAGTTTATTAAAGTGTTTAAGATGTCAGACTGTAAGTTGAAGTATTCATATTGCAATATTTTTCTTTCCTATTTTAAACTTTTTAACTGTAAAAAATAAAAATAAGAAGAATAAAAAATAAAATAATAATAATAACAACAACAATAAAAACCAATAGTAGTTCTATAGCATTTTTTCTGTTTTTTTTTTTATACTTTCGACAGCCACGTATTACTTTATGGCAGTGATTTCAAACTGGTGGCCTTTGAAGCAATTTTACACAGTCCATGAATATATTTCCTCTAAATTAATTGGCATTATTTTGACAAAAAATTACCTTATTTGGAAGTACATCTATATGTGAACAAGCTGTTTTCGGAGTTTAATAAAAACCAGATTGATCATTCAATTTGTGATAAAAATAACTTCTAGTAATTTTCCTCCAAGCTTATAAGCTTTATCAAAACACCATGAGATGGTTGTAGCAAGAAATAAAAAAGTTTATAATTTTATATGCAAATACATGTATTTTTTCTGTATGATTAAAAAAATGTAAATAAAAATTTTAAACAGGCTGCCATCATTTATTCTCATGTTTCATCCCACTTCAAAGTTTTCTTGATTTGTTTATTTTTAGTTTAGTGGTTAATCTAACATTTGAAATAAATGCAAGTATGAAAATTTAATATTTAGAAGTCAGTAATATGTTTGAAATGCAAAGTGCAACCAATGTGTATCTTGCAGAAAACAGCTTTTAGATTTCACATAGAATATAAATTGATGCATCATTATTACTGCTTATAAAGGTTTTGATATATATTTAGCACATAAAATTTACAATTAAGTTAAAAATTTTTGGCCAATCAGCTGCTTTCGATTATGCATTCAGTGCACATGCAATTTCAGTACGAGACCAGTTTTATGGCATTCACTATATAATGTATAGAAACACATTACTTCTTTTTAACAGATATAAACACGATAATTCATCTTGGATTATTTAATTATGGCAAAGTACACGAGGGCTATCTGCCTAAAGGAGGGATGTCTTTGTGGAGGAATTTCTAAGGGAAACTGGCTCGTATACACGTTACACATGGGGAAAACCACGAAAATGCCCATGCAGCCAGCCCGTTCACGGGATTTGAACCTAGGACCAAACTACCAGTTTTCAGCGTCTTTACTGCTCGGCCGTTGGTGGGCCGATAATTCATCTTGATAACATCATCATCATAAACATATCAGAATTAAAAACGCAATTTCCTTTTTTCATCAGCATTCAATGTAATCAATAACATAAGTGCAACACATAAAAATCACATACACTTTAAAATTAAGTAATAAGAAAAGTATACACACATGAATAAAATACACAACAGTATCAGATATAATCACTGTTTTCCCTTTCAAATAATTGGAGCTTATAGTTAGGTATTAAAGGATTTTAAATTTGTATGTATTAGGTTGTCCAGAAAATAATGCAGGTTTTTAACCTATATCTTTAAAGTATCATAACTCAAAAACAATTTTATTAATCAAAATAAGCAGCAGCCGAATCAATGCATTTTTGCCAATGAGATATAAGTTTATTTATGCCGGTAGAATAAAATTCTGTTGTTCTGGATATGATAAAATTGTCAAAGGCAATTTTGACCTCATCTTGGTTTCTGAAGTATTTCTTCTGCAGAATGTTATCCAGATGTTTGAAAAAATGGTAATCAGTCGGCAAGAGCTCAGGCGAATATGGGGGAAGAAGGAGAGTCTCGTATCCCAATTCGTCCAATTTTTGTAGGGTCAGTTGCATGATGTGTGGCCGAGCATTGTCATGGAGAAGAACTGACCGCTTTCTGTTGACCAATGCTGAGCACATGCATTGCAATTTTTGGTACATTTTATTGATTTACTGACAGTACTTATCTGCCATAATCGTTTAGCCCAGATTTAGGAAGCTGTTGTGGATGAGACCCACCTCAGACCACCAAACAGTTACCATAATTTTCTTTTGGTGCAAATTTAGCTTTGAAAAGTGTTGTACTGTCTGACCCTGGTCCAACCACTGAGCTGAGTGTTGCCAGTTGTTGGAGAAAATCCATTTTCATCCCACACAATAATTCAATCAAGAAAAAAGGTTGTTTTTGTTGCGGAGAAGAAGAGCAGACAACACTTCAAAATGGCGACTTTTTTATATTTTCGCTCAATTTGTGAGGCACCCACTTATCGAGCTTCTTTGACTTTCCTATACAATTCAAGTGATCAGAAATTGTTGTTTTGCTTATGCCAGGCTCTCAAACAGTTATGCATGGGTTTGTTTCAACTAAAGTCTTTAAATCATCCTCATCAACAGCTGAAGAGCACTCTTGATGCTCTCAATGCTCTTAATCTTCTAGGTCAAATTCTCCACGATGAAACTTTTGGTATCACCGTTGAACCATAGGTTCACTAACATTTTTTACACCCCATATTTCATTGACATTTCGAGCCCTTTGTGCTACGCTGTGGCCTAGCTTGTACTCATAAAAGTAAATTTGCAGAAAATCACATTTTGACGTCTAAACAAAAACACCTAGTAAATATTTTTGAAAATAATTTTGGAACAAAATGATTATTATAGAAATATAGAGAGAAAATAGAGCTTCAAAATGATATATAAACCAATCTAATTCAAAATATTTTTGTTTCTAAAAATGTACAGGAAAGATAAACGGTTGCAAAAACCTGTATTATTTTCTGGACAACCTAATAACATATATAGTTTGTAGGCAATACATAATTACACAACAAAACAAAGTTATTCAAACAATCAAGGCTGCTAAAAACATTGGACATTCTTACTTTGTTCACATCTTTAAAAACCATATGTATATTATCGGTTTGTCCAGCAACACGTACAAGACTGCAGTACACATCATAGCATAATGGTGAATGTTCTCCAATGCCTGCAAACAAATTTTGCAACCTAAAAATATTAAAATACCATTTTAACAGTTATTTACTGCCAATCACTTTTATATATGCAAATTATTATTATTTCAGAATTCCTAAAGATGCATTTTTGAATGCTGATGCTGTAAAAATAAGCTGCAAGACCATGTTATGAAAACTTCCCAATCTATCATTTCAGATTAATTATGTTCATATTTCATTACACAGTGAGAAGTCTCTTAACTGCATTAAAAGTTTTCAACAAACCTTGCATCTAAAATAACATTCTGGATAATCAATCAGGATATACCTCTTAACTTATATCTACTTTTCAATGAAAGCCTTTTTCCTGTATTTCCCAATAGGAATTATAATTTGGTTTATTACAAAGGATAGTGGTATAATGTTGTCAACATCAATGTGAAATCCTCCTAGCAAGCACAAGACCAACTCCATTAAATTTTGCAAAACAAATCATCTATCAGTAAATTAATACAAGTTTCGATCTTTCACACACTGCTCCATGTTTTCATATCTTTACGTTTATACGATCAGATAGACTTGAGAAAGGTACTGTTTTTGGTTGCTTCACTTTACACAGCCCAAGAATAAACTTCCTGTATCACATGAATCTGCTTCCATGAATTCCTGTACCTTCTGTTTATCACACAAAGGCCAAAGGTGAGTAAATGAGACTGAAAGCTGTAATTGCAAGATAAAAAAAAAGGGGGGAACGAAAGTGTGAAAAATAGTAAACAACCTTAAGATACCCCAACAGCTTTAATAATATACAAATAACTGAAAAAGGTTAATTTCCTTAATTCCATTATATTTTTGCAGACAAGAATGTTTATCTATTTTGGTCAAATAATTCATCTAACATATTAATACAAGCTTTGATCTTTCACATGTTACTGAATGTTTTATATCTTCAAGATAGATCTGAAAGCCATAGTTTTTGGTTGCTTCACTTTTAAATGAAGAACAAAGGCGGGTTAATGAAGCTATACAAGTTACAACTACAAGATTTAAAGGGTAAGTTATTGTATGTTAATAAACCAGTTATTATGATTAAGATATAATAACACACCGAACAAATATTAATTTAAAAGTCCAACAACAAAAATCAGCATTATATTTTCAAATTTTCACAGGACTAGTTTCAATGGTTTTACCGAACCATCGTCCTCAGCTGCAAAAGCGTTAATGAACGAGATAAGATAAGAAAGCCTGGACAGGAGAGAAGCTACTGGTGCCATCTGCTGAAGAAACCAGAACTAAAACATAATTTCTTTAAAGGCTGAAGGCAAAGATGGATTGGAATTAGGGTCGTTAACTAGAACACAAAGATTTTTTTAAATGTGAAATCCAGTTCAATAATGCATACTTGCCAACCTATGACACTCAAAAATCAGGAGATTTTTTTAAGAAATCAGGAGATTTTTCACAATGTTAAAAAGACTTTTTAAATGATAAAAATATAGTTTTTAATAATGAATTAACTTTAAGTAGTAACTAATTCTTAAATGAAAGCAACACAAAAATACCTTACACATAAAAAAAATTTTATTACATGCATCGTTTAAGGGAAAAAAAAAAAAAAAAAAAAACACTTTAATCAGTTTTCGTACAAATGTTATAAACAGTGGCAGATTTTGCTTTCTTTAAGAAAGAAACTTCATCATTGTGTTCACAGCAATTGCCACGTAGGCCTGCTTTCGCTAATAAAAGTTTTTCTAATGTGCCATCTCTAATATTAGATCTAAATTTAGTCCTCGTTTTCGCAACAACACTGAGAATCCTCTCACACTCTGCATTACTATAGGGAACTGTCAAGATGGCCAACACAATTCTAGACAGTTCACTATATTTTAAAATTCCATCAGCACCTTTCAGTTTTGCACTCCACTGGGTGTCAATCGTAGCTGATTTCATAACTTCATCCAAGTTTTCTAATTGTAAACTGCTGTTATGCAGCTGTTGGAACTGTTTCAATTTTTCCTTCCTTTTAGAACTCCTTTCAAGATAATAATAAATATCAACAATGTGTCCATCCACATTTATTGGTAAAGAAGTTGCCCCTTTTTCAGCTGCTAAATTTAAGAGGTGACAGGTGCACGTCATAATGTGAAAATCAGAATTTTCCTTTCTTAAGATGCCTGCAACACCAGCCTTCCGAGCCTACAAATACTGGTGCATTATCAGCACCAAGTGCTAAGCAATTATCCAGAGTGCCTGCAGTTTTCTTTTAAAGTTTTAATAATTAGCTGTGCTATATTAAAGCCTGTCAAATGTCCTTCTAAAGTGGGAACATAAAGTAAACTGCACTCAATTTCTGAAGCCTCTGGATCAAAAAAGAAACAACAATTGGATACAGTTTTGAATCGGTATTATTGCTTCCTTCAGTAGAGAGGCAGACCAGAGCTATTTTAATGCAATCAATAACTGAAGATTTATTTTTCAAACCCATTTCTTTAACAATTGCACCTGTTTTGATTCTCGCACCTTGAGTATTTCTTAGCGATTTCACTATCGGGAAACATTTTTCTAAATAAAGCTGCAGCGTGATCCGATGCATTCAGTGGCAGGTTGTGCTCCAGTAAAAAGGCAGAAAACAGACATTCTGCATTAATAACTTTTTGGTCCTTTGTTTCCGAAGAAAAATTTAATTTTTCGTTTTTTTCAAAACAACTCATGTTATCCTTGTGTTTTTGTGTACGCACATGTTTGAGAACATCCGCCCTTCCAACATACGAAGTCGAAAAATCACAACGACAGGCGGTACACATCGCAAATTTATTACATTTCCTTGAGGAAATAATGGAAGGAAAGTCGACTGTGTACGATTTTTGAAACGTACACTAGTATTTCACCTTTCTCGCAGACGTAACAAAAGATGATAATTTCTAAAACTATTTCCCTAAGGCACGTGTACTCACACAACTCAGGACAAAATGAACGAAATAACTAAAAAGAACATCCAAATAACAACTTGCTTTGTCCTCATTGGCTAATATATGCCAGCTGACACGCAGTGGAGCTCGAAGCCCATTGGAGAACTGGAGAATGACGTTTCTGGATACGTATAATGCTCTCACTCACAAAGCAGAAGCTATCTGATTCGCAAGGTTTTGTTTTAGATATAATGTAGAGAAAATTCAATTGCTTTCAGACGTCCAAAAGCACTTTTTTTATTCATATAACAAAGTATTAAGTCAAGTTGCATAAAAATCGTGAGAAATTTTAAGAATAAGAAAAAGTCGGGAGAAATATATTGTAAATTGGGTTGGCGGGAGAGCGGTCGAAAATCGGGGAGAGTTGGCAACTCTGAATAATGGAAGATGTTTTTTAAATAATTTTGGCAGCAGAAAAATTGAAAGTGTGATTTTCCGACGAACAATTTTGGGCAACAGAAGACTTGTGTGTTTCCTTTCCTCTAACATATGCCTCATGTTCCCTAATGCGAAATTTTAAGGCTCTCTTAGTTTGGCCAAAGTAAATTAAGCCACACTGGCAAGGAATCCTGTAAATACCCCAGGAATTCATATCCGGAATGGGGTCCTTGAGTATGGAAAATCAGAATTTTATTGATGGGAGAATAAATGACCCCAAAGTTAAATTTCTGCAAAATACCTGCAACTTTATAGCTGACTGATGGAAAGAAGGGAATGACAACAGAATTTTTATAATCTCCTAAAACAGGAGTGTGCCTTTTGGTGTGTTAAGATGAGAATTTTTAAACTGCTTGATTAATGATATTGGGTGAAATCCCCTGCCAATAGCTATTGCTTTTAAATAGTTTAGTTCTTCATCAAGGGATAGTTTGGAGAAGCAAACTTGAAGAGCACGGAAAACATTGGAATAAAATGAAGCTAACTTTTGTTTAGTCGGATGACATGATTATGATTTGAAATGTGGTGGAAGGCAAACTGATGAAGGTTTACGGTAAACCATAGTTCTGAAGTTGGATGTGTTTAGTGTGACCAGAATGTCAAGAAACGGAAGAGAATTGCAAATCTCAAGTTCAAAAGTGAACTGAATAGCAGAATTAATGGAATTTATCATTGAAAGAACTTTACTTTATTAAAGTATGTTAATAAAAATAATAATAATATAATATATAGTTTAGATAAGTAAAGTGTAAGCAAAGTGTTAATTGGAAAGAAGCTATGGATTCAGAGAAATCATTGATAGAGAATGAAACATGGAGTTTAGAAAAATTACCAAAAGATGCTAAAGCTATACCATGCAAGTGGGTTTATAAGATCAAAAGGAATCCTGATGGATCTATTAATAAATTCAAGGCTAGACTTGTTGCCAAAGGATGTACTCAACGTTTCGGAGTTGATTATGATCAAACGTTTAGTCCAGTAACAAAGTTAGGAACTATTTGTTCAGTTTTAAGCATCGCAGCCAATGAGAAAATGCATCTTTCTCAGTTTGATGTCGGTTCAGCATTATGGGAAACTTGAAGAATCTATATACATGCAGCAACCAGAAGGATATAGTGACGGTTCGAAGAAAGTCTGTAAGTTGAAACGCAGTTTGTATGGACTTAAACAATCATCACGCTGCTGGAATAAATATTTTGGAGATTTTGTGTCACAGCTGGGCTTCAAGACAAGTGTACTGCTTATATATAAGAAACAATAATGGCAAGAAGCTAATCGTATGTTTATATGTAGATGATGGTTTAGTAGCATCAACAGACTTACAAGAATCTGAAAAATTTCTCAGAGAATTGAGATTCAGAATCACAACTAAACCAGCAGTATATTTTCTTGGACTTGAAATTAAACATCTTGAAGATGGAAGTATTAAAATTAGTCAGCAAGCTTATGCAAGAAAAATTCTTCAAAAATTTGGGATGGAAGATTGCAAGCCAGTGTCAACTCCTATCCTGAAGGAAGGTCTAACTGAAAAGAAAAAGGAAGATAAATCAAACAGAGAAATTTTTCCTTATAGAGAAGCTGTAGGAGTTTTAATGCATCTTATGTTAGGCACAAGACCAGATTTAGCTTACTGTGCTGGCAT